TTTACCTATGGGCCTTGTGTAAACACTCGTGCTTACACTCCTCTCTCAGAGGTTTTGATTCTTTGGGTGGGGCGTTGGCACTGGCACTGGGGTCATGATGCACCACCAGTCTTGAGAACTACTGTCCTAAGAAACAGGCATTATCTCCTGAAAACCTTGCCTGGAACTTGAATTCTTCAGTTCACAGAAAATGGGTTCTCACACAAGGCTAAAGACACTGCCAACGAAGATGAAAGTTGAGGAGCTCCTCCACTACTCCAGGTAGCTCAGAAAGCACCTGAACCCAGTGTTTTCTGCAATGCTTGGGGATATGGGATGTTCACACTGAATATCTTGGATAGAAGTCTAGCATGCTTATATCCCTAAGCCACATGCTAACTTTCAAAATGACTAAGCATTTTTTGATGATATATCTAAAAAGAAGTAACTAAAAATCAAGGTCCAAGAAAGAAACAAGCAATACAGTAAAATCCTTTACATAAAGATATTTGGCATAACGCTCTACAGTTTACAATTATCTTTATACTCATTATTGCATTTAATGTTCACTATAATAGTACGGTATTATATAAGTTTCATAGAAAAGAAAATTGAGGTTGAGAGAGAAGTGGGAAGACCAGACACTAATTCCAGGCAACACAAAAGTGTTGCCAAGTCCATAGATTTTTTTTTTTAACTACATCCCAATTGCCTCCTTTTTTTCTCCTATTACTTGTGATTCAAAATATTTTCCATTTAAAAACACATTTATTAGCAAAACATTACAAGCTAAAATACAAAATACTTAAATATGTAAACATCTGCTCACGGTTCAAGGAGGGTGATTATGTCTTATCCACTTAAGTGTGGAACTCTTACCTTAAAATTAAAGCTCAGACAAAGTTCAAGAGACTGAGAACACAATCTGAATTTTTCCTGAGACAAATAAACCTGAGCCATCAGGAGATGAGCATCTGCATAGGAAGGACTGTGTTCGAGGCAATGCTGCAGGTTATTATAAGCTGCTTCAATATCACCTAATGAGGAAATAAAGTGCTGTTATAATTCAAATTCAAAAGATTGAGAAGCAGAAGTTTGAAAGAAGAGGGAGAAAAGTATTTAAACTTATGAACAGTGATAAAGTCCCCCGTTTATCAGGCCATAGTTTAGCCTCTACCTGCACTAGTTTGCTTCATTTTAGTCTGTGTGAAAGTACATACCTGAAGTCAGGCCACCCCTTGGTCATAAGGAGCAGATCAGGAAAAGAATGTAAAATGAGCAGAATCCAACACCACTGTTACTGAGAGTCCTATGAAGTGTGCCTTCATTTATTTTCCTTGTCAAAATTTTTTCTAATTTACAATTTCATTAAAATAAATTACATAAAAGATAGAAACTTAAATAGCTAGAATGTTATAGTGCTACATTAACAAATAAGGTTTAGTCTAGTAATCATTCTTGACCAAAAAATTTTACTATACATAAAATAACAAAAAAAGCAGAAGGATATATACCAGAGGTTTAGAAAATGTAAGTTATAGATCTTAAATGCCTTTAAATACTAACTGAAAGAGCAAATGTTTTGAAAATATACCTATTGTACACCTGAGAGTCCTTTTTTCAATTGAAGTATATTTGATTTATATTATATTAGTTTCAGGTGTACAGCATAGTGACTCAGTATTTTTGCACACTATATTCCATCATAGGTTATTAAGTACACCTAGAGTCTTAAATTAGAAGGAAATGATTAAGATTAAAGTGACTATCATACTGGAATCCACCTGCAGCTGACAGATGGGGCAGGAAGAGACTCCTCAGAGGAACAACGGCATAGACTCAAGGTGCTAAGAGTGTCTCGTGCTGTAACCCACACTGATTTGCATTCAGCCATCTCATAAACTGGCCTTCACTAGGTATAGCTAGGCCAACCCTCTACATAACTTTGCCAGGAGAACTGGGGAAAAGGATCCTAAATTATTATCTGTCCAGTTACTCTCCGTAACCTTACCTGACACCTTAGACAAAATAAGGCTTACAGACAGGGCCTTCAGTTTCCAAAAACTCAACCTTCTTCTAAAAAAAAATCCAGTTAAATGGAAAATATTTTTCTTAGAGACAAAGGATTAGGAACAAAAATTTGGCTGAGGTAGCATGATAACTTATTAACTACAGTGTCAAAAAATTTTAATTCACCACCAAGCAAAATAAATATCAGATTCTTTTTCGTTGTGATACAATCCAACACTCAGACTGTGCACACAAAAAAGGAAAAAGGAAGGTTAAGCTTAATAAATCTGCATGCAAATTACCACCCCCATATTCTTTCAGGAAGGAGGAGAATTAAGGCAATAACTTGAAAAAAGAGGTTATTACTGGATTAGCCAAGATGGCAGAGTAGAAGGACACTCATAGCTCATCCTCTCCCACAAATACATCACGACTGACATCCATGGACCCACCCAATTAGAGCACCTGCTGAACTCTGACAGAACATTACCTTCTTCAAAAGACAAAATATGCCACGAAATCTGGTAGGAGAAAAGGAAAAAGGAAAGAAGAAAAAGCAAAACAGTGCAGGGCCAGCCAACTGCACAGAGCAGGGAAGCGACCAGTGCTGGAGAATGGTGGGGGGCCTGCCCGCCTACCATGCAGGAGTGCAGCACCTGACCAGGTGTTGGGAGGGGGGTATGACCTTGCCTGCCCACCAGCACTGGGAGCAGCACAGACCAGGGGTGTGAACGGAGGGCCTCTGGAAGCAGAGAGCTGAGTTTGCTCAACAGGACTAGGGCAGGAGCAGTGACAACCACAAAACAAAAAGGAGGCCCCATTCAATAACAAGGGCAGACTCTGACCATCAGGTCAACGGCCACACCCCTAACCAAAGCAAAGTAAGACTTGGCAACCACCCATACTTCAGAAGGACCTCTCAACAAAATCATTAAGAGCACACAGTCTCCACGGGAACAAAACCACTTTTTTTCCCCTCTGTTCTATTTTCTGTTACTTTTTAAAATTTTTACTTTTTAAACAATTATATATGTTTCTAGTCTTAATCCCTTTAAATTTTTTTCTTTTAAAATATTTTACTATTTTTTAAATTCACCTCAATTTCATTTTAATATCTCTTGGTTTTGTTCTCCTATTGTTGATTATACTCAGTTTTCAAATATTTTTTTCAACTTTTAAGGTTTTTACAATACATCTCAACTCAATTTTTTTTTGCTTCAATTTGTTCTGTTATTGATTATACTGTTTTCAAACCTTTTTTTCCCCTCTTCTTTTAAACTTCTTTTTTTTTTTAAATTTCCACATATGCTTTAGATAAATAAACTCCTTAAGGACCACAGTAGATAACTGATACTCCATAAACCACAGTGCCAAAGAGATATGAGCAAAATGAAGAAGCAGAGGAACCACCCCCAATTAAAAGAACAAGAGAAATCCCCTGAAAGAATGACCAATGAAATAGACATTGATAGCCTACTAGATCATTTCAAAAAAGGAGTGATCAAGGTACTGAAGGAACTAAAAGAGATTGTATTTAGAGACAGAGACTATGTCAAAAATGAAATTGAAGCTGTAAAGC